CTTTCACAGTGAACATTCTTTCTTCCTCTGTGTGAAGGCCCGAATTTTGGGCCCCTGTCTGTTCTTCATCCCCAGCCCCAAGGTAGGCTGGGTCCACCCAGAACACACATCAGTGCACACAGAATCCTAACAGTAGATCAGTTCCAGGCTGTGATGCTGTTCAACCCTCCCACCCCCACTGGAGATAGGAACCCTCATTTGCCCCATCTCACAGATGAAGAAACTGAGGCCCAGAGAAGTCAACACACTGTGTCTTCCTTCTTAGTGTGGTTTCTTCTTTGGGACTCCTGTTAGATCCCGAACTCTCCAAAGGGGGAGACTTTTGAGTTACTGGTGCCTAGAACAGGGTATGGGTGGTGTAAATGGTTTAGTTCTCAACAACTAGCTGAAAAGTTGGTATGATGAATTCACTTAGAGGTGCCTTGGAAGAAAGGCCTGGAGATCTGCTTCCAAAAGGTCACAGCCTTGAAAACCCCATGGAGCACAGCTCTGTTCCACCCACACAGGGTCACCAAGAGTCAGCAGTGACTCACCGGCAACTAACAACAGAACAGTGCACACACTAAAAAACAAACTTACTGCTGTGGAGTCGGACCCGATGCATAGCAACCCCTCCTTGAGTTTCCAAGACAGTAGCTCAACGGAAGTAGGTTGCCCAACCTTCCTTCTGAGGAATGTCTGGTGGGTTTGAACCGCCAGTCTTCTGGTTAGCAGTCAAATGCCTTAGACACTACTCAATAAATATTATGGAGGAGGAAATGTAGCCTGAAGTATATAATTCGGAAAGAGAAGCTTCAGGATTTTCTCTCAGCCCACTGGTTTCAGCAACCACACAGTGAGACCCTTTCGATGCACGCAATGAAGAGTGAGAGTAAGAGAAAGGGGATCACTGGAGAGGGGGAGAAAGAACAGGGGTTCCCTGGCCACACAAGTCAAGTGATTGATTCAGTGATTGTGTAAACTTTCTGAGCCTTGGTTTCCTTATCTGTCACACGAGCTAAGACCACTATTTCCAGGCTCCTAAGGAGATGCCACATACTCTCCCAAATGGGCCCCCTCCCGAGGTAGGCAAATCGATCGTTGGGTTTTGAGGAACCTAAGCCACCCAGCTAAGTGGGTCTGGGACTCGACCCACTGCGTACAGAGACCAGGAGGGCTCCAGAGGACTCTGGGGTTCAGGGGGGAATGACAGAACATCCCAGGGCCCTGCCCCCACTCCCCATGCATACCACTCACCTGCCCCTGATGCTGGACCCACCAGCCCGAATGGCTGGCCTTGGAGCCCTGGTGACACCACGGCTTTGTGACTCGCACCCACATTCCAGCCAATCCTGGCCCTACTGGCTGGCTCCTTGGGGGTGGGGGTTTTCTAGAATGTGGAACCAGGGGTGGGGGCAGGGCCCAGGGTCATATCTACCCAGGGTCCGATCCATGGTCTGTCCATCCTGAGTGGGAAATTAGGGCTCTGTGTGCAGAGGGGAGTCCCAAAACCTCCCTCTCTTATGTGTCAGGGGGAATGGCCTTAGTCTTTTATCCCCCAGGCATTTGCTGACCTGCCTCTAGGTCTGAGGACACAAACTACTGGGACGATTCTGGGGAGGCCTCCCTGGGGAGGCCTCCCTGAGGAGGCGATGTTGGAGCTGGGACCTGAAGGGGGAGGAGACTGCATGAAGAGTTGGGGAAAGGTCATCCCAGGAGGAAGGCACAGCCCTTGTAAAGGCCCACAGGTGGGAGCAAGCTGGGTGTGGTTACAGAAACTAGGGCCAGTGTGGCTGGAGGTGAGGGACAGGAAGCCGGGGTGCAGGTGGGCCTCTGGAGTTCCAGAGTCCAGGTTTCAGTGAGAGAGCTCTGGGAAGCCAGGGAAAGATTTAGAGCAAGGAAGGAGTGAGTTCTGTTTTACATCTTAAAAAGCAGCGCTGTCCCAGAGCAAGTGGGCACAGATCCTGAGCCCCAGCCCTGGAGGGGACATAAGGCCGCTATCCCAGGTCACCTCCCAGGGCTGGGCCAGGGCCCTGTGTGAGTCACTGCTGGCTAGGCCAGGGCTGACACACACATTGGCCTCAGCTCAGCAAGGTCCAGCCAAAAGCCTCCCAGGGGGCCGCTGAGGGGAGGGCCTCGCCCTAGAGCAGGAAGCCAGCAGGGGTGCTGGAGCCCCAATCTGCAGAGATCCCCAGTCTTATCCACACCCATGGGGCTCCAGCTCCTCCTATGGGTATGGCCTGGGGCAAACCCAACTAAGGACATGGGAGTTGGACAGGACTTTGTCCTTCGTTCTGCTTAGCATTGACCAAACTGGGTCCATAATCTGAAGACAGATGCAAACCCCAGTGGCCAAGGTAATATGAGGGGGAGGGCAGAAAGCACTATGGGCGTCCAAGGAGCACCCACCGAAGCCCAGGGCAGCCAGGGAGCGGCCTCGGAGGAGGTTGTGTACAGCTGAGGCTTGGAGGTAGAGCTCAGCTGGACAACAGCTTTGCAAAGGGCTGGAGCTAAGGAAATAAGTTTGTCTGGGAGAACTGGGCCTGGAGGAAGACACACCTCTGCCTCCCAGGGCCTGGTGCAGACAGGGACTTATCCCTGCGTTTCAAAGGGGAGTCAGACCTGTGGTTTCAGAAATGCTCCTCCCATCACAGTTCCTGCAGACCTGCCTCTCCAATCAGACTGGTAGCTTCCCTGGGTTGACACCCCAGGGGGCACCTGGTAGGTGCCATCAAACGCTGGTGAGAAGACCACCCCCTTCATAGCTTAAGACCTGGAAGGACACGGGCCTGGGTTCGAGTCCCTGCTCTGCCACTCAGCAGAGTTATCAGATGGATCTGGCAAGCCCTCTGGGCTCCCCAACTCTATCAACAGGAGTATTGGCACCTCCCACAGAGCCTGCATAGGGCAGTTGCTTCTGGCAGTTACTATTACTGTTGCTGTTACCTCCCTGAACAGTTGCTGGCAGCTGTCTTCTGATCTGAGAGATGTCAATCCTGCCCAAAATGCACCCAATATACAAGAGGTAATGGTCAAAAGGGGAGACTTGGTTGAGGGCCCTTAGCAACAGACTGGTGCCCAAGTATGGACTCAATCTCTGCACAAGTTCTGCCCTCAAAACATAGGTTCTGTTTATCAAGACACATCTCACTGCTCTCACCTTCCCTCCTGATGAGTGTCCTTGACCTTGGCACAAAACACAGTAAGACCCTAGGATTTAAAACCAAACCCCTGAGCAGCTCTTGAAGCCTCTAGGATTAGGCAGCCCATCATAGCCCTTCTGTGCCCCTCAAGTTTTTCCACCTGTAAAATGCGCATAACTCGCCTGCCTTCTTGAGCAGGCTGGGCAGTTAACACTCAATACGTGCCCTTGACCATGGCCTGCAGCTGCTAAAACTGGACTGTTATACTCAAATTCTTCTAGGCACCCGACCAGTTGGAAGGCCAAAGTTTGGGGTCCTTCACTCCCTCCTCAGCAAAAGCCACAATGGCAAGGGAGGCAGGCCATGGGCCAAGGCCCTGGAGGTGAGAAACCTAGGGCTTAAATGGCCTTGCTTAATCCCAACGGGCTTTGTGAACACCTGTAAGATGCTGGGTTCCTAGCTGATGGTCTGACTACCTGGGGTGGGATCCCACGTGTGCCACCTCCCGCCTGTCCTGGACAATCTTTCCTGAGCCTCAATTTCTTCACTTGTAGAGCAAGAAAAGCTAACATCTGCTGAGCACCTACTATATGCAAAGTGCCGCTTTGTACATACACAGTCCATTAGTCGATTCCAACTCATAGTCACCCTGCGGGGCTGAGCAGAACTGGCACATAGCCTTTCCAAGGCTGTAACAGAAGCAGACTGCCCTACTTTCCTCCCACAGAGGCTGGTGTGTTTAAATCGTTGACCTTTTGGTTAGTAAATGAGTACCTCATTACTGCGCCACCAGGGCTCCTTTACGTAAACATTAGCTCTCTCAATCCTCACAACCTAATGGGGCAAGTTTCCAACTGCTGTACCCATTTTACAGATAGAACAATAGAGACCCCAAAGCTAGAGAACTTTTCTGCTTCTTCTTTTCTGCCTTAAGTTGGGGCTGTTCTCCTTCCATCACAAGTCCTCTTTCCCCAAAAGGCAAAGGCGTCCCCTACCCTCGCTGAGCCGGGCATCATCCGGGCCCGCGGTGAGGAGCGCCTAGATGGCGCTCGCTGCGCGCCAGATGTGCGCTTCCCGCCCCAACAGGGAGGAGCTGAGCCCCGGCGAGGGGTAAGGAAGGCCGGGAGAGGGGAGGAGAGGGCAGAAGTGCGGGCCAGGCCCCGCCCGTCAGGCCCCAAAGGGGGAAGAAGGAGGAGGCGGAGAGCCGAGCTGGCGTAACGAGACTTTACTGAAAACAGAAAACCGGGCGAACCAAGGATTACATACAGGAATGTGGACTTGTAGCAAAACAAAACATAACAACAGAACAAGAACGGAGGAGGGTGTCGAGAGCGAGAGCAAGAGGGGGTGGGGAGTTTTTTTTTTCTTTTTTCTTCTTCCCATTTCTTTAAAAAACCAACACAAGAAAACACACACGCACACAACAAACGTTTGTTCCCGAATAGAAACATAAATAGGGCAGAATCGAACACTCTGTTTTTCTCTCTTCCAAAGCAAAAAAAAAAAAAGGAAAAGAAAAGGAAACATAGGCTGGCGGCAGCGCCCCCGCGCAGCCCCCGTCCGCGATGGTATACAAAGAGGCGGCGGGGGCGCGCGGGTTTGTGCAGCATGGGGCAGCCACTCGCGGGGGGACAGAGGCAGCGCGAGGGGAGGGTGTCATGCGCTCGCCCCCCGGGCGGGGGGTCCAGCTTGTCGAGTCCGGGGCGCCCTCTCCAAGTCCTGGGCACCCTCTCAGGAAGTCCGGGACGCCCCGTCCGAGTCCCGTGCACCCTCAGGGGCTTCTAAGGGCCGCGCCCTCTCCAAGTCCTGGGCGCCCACGCCCCCCCTCCGAGCCCGCCCCTCGGGGTGGGGGGCCGCGCATGCGCCCCGAGTGCGGGCTCAGTACGCGGGCACCTGGTGCTGGGACAGCAGCTGGCAGCCGCTGTTGACGTGGCTGAGAACCTTCTGCTTGAGCTGCGCCACCTGCTCGCGCAGCAGACTAGCTGTGGACGCCAACTCCGTATTCTGGCTTTTGAGCGTCTTCACCTTCTCCTCAAGGCGCGAGATGCGCTCCAGCTTGCGCTTGCGGCACTTGGAGGCGGCGATGCGGTTGCGCAGGCGCTTGCGTTCCGCCTTGATGCGCTCCTGCGTGTCCATGTCGATGGGCGACAGCGGCGGGCTCTCGCCGAAGCTCGGCACCTCAGGCACCGTCTGCGGCTCGTCCTTGAGCGCGGCCAGGCGCGGCGGCGGCCCCAGCGCACCCGGCGGCGGCGGTGGGAAGGGCACGGGCTCGGCGGCGAAAGCCACCGTGGCTGCGCCCCCGGCCGCGCCCGCGCCGCCCGCGTAGCTACTCAGGTTCGCGTAGACGGGTGCCTCCGGCGTGGGCGCCGCCGGGGCCAGCTCACTGGAGGGAGCCGAAGCCGCAGCCGCCCCAGAAGGCCCTCCGGCGGCGGCGGCCGCGGCGGCCACGGCGCCAGCGCCTAGCTGGTTCTGCTTGTGCAGGTCCTCCAGTGCTTTAACGAAGCCTTCGGCGAACTCCTGCTCTTCGCTGGCCGCCACCTTGGGGTACAGGAACTGCGTGCTGGTCGGCGTAGTAGTTACCAGCCCGTTGGACTGGATTATGAGGCGCTCGAGCTCAGGCGAAGCCAGCTTCAGAAGCCCCAGGTCTGGCGAAGTCATAAGGCTGTCGGGGGGCGCCGTGCCTGGGGCGCCGTCGGCGCGTAGAGGGGCCGGGGGCGGTGCGGCCGCGGGCTTGAGTGCTGCCGCCACCTGCTCGCTCAGGCTCAGTGTCAGCGCGTCCTTCTTCAACATGCTGCCGGCCGCAGCCGCCGCCGTCGTCTGGGGCGCCCCGGGAAAAAGGCGGCCCGGGGACGCGAAGCCACCTCCGCCAGTGCCGCTGGTGCCGCCGCCCAGGCCGCTCAGCGCCTCATCGCTGTAGAAGGGTGTTTCCATCCTCCGCCTCCCCCGCGCCAGCCCCGGGGGAGGGGAGTGGCCGCGGTCGCCGGGGGGCCTGCGCCCCCCGCCCCGTCCCAAGGCACCCCCGCCCGCCCCGGCCGTGCCGCTACGCCTGGCGTTCCGCTGGCGGCGGCTACTGCCGCCGCGCCGTCCGCTCCACCCTCTTATAGCCTCGGCCTGGCGCGATGAGCTCACCGCCCCTGCTCGCCATTGGGCACGGGTGACGTAGATCATTTGCATAGAGGGGTGGGGCCTGGCCGCTGCCGCCGACCAGACCGCCGTTGCCCCGACGACGCACAGTAAACTGCACAACAACGCATTGCCTTCTGGGTTGACGTCATGGGGGTGGACCTCGCCCCCGGCCGGTGGAGCCTGCCCCGGGAGCGCTATTTACAGCAACGGCCCCCAGCGCCGCCTCCCGCCAAGGCACGTCCGGGGTGGTGTGATGGGTCCGGCCCCGCCCTCGGTCGCGCGTAGGGCCTCTGCCGGCGGGGTCGAGGCCCCGGAGTGGCGCCCAGTCCCCGGGAACCAGAGGGGAATGGAGTCCTGCGTGGATAAATAACTCGCCGGCGCCTCCCGCGACACTACGCCGACAATGCCTCCATTAGCGCTCGTCCCAGACGGGCTTTGTGCGCGCCGGGGCCTTGCAGGAGGCTCGCGGGGGGTGAGGGGCAGCCTGCCGTTCGTAGGGTGTGTTTGCCCCAGGAAGATGCGGGAGAGAAAAGCTGGTAGAAGTTGTTGGAAGCGTTTCGATTCCGATCCTTTTCTTTGAGTGGGGTTTGGAGCGCGGAGACTGACTTCTGGCTTTACCGACGGGAAACTGAGGCTCAGCGTGGTGACCTGCCCGAGGACACCCTAGGAGTCAACAGGGCCACGTGTGGGTCCGCCCTTTACAATCTAGGCGTCCAGATGCCTAAGCAGCTGCTTCCCTCAGCCATTCATGGTCTCACTAGCCAGAGACTGCTGTGGGTCCCAGGGCGCTGGTCCCCTTCTTTCCCCTCAGCCCCCAGTCCTCTGCCGCCCCAGGGCTGGGCGGATGAGGCAGGAATCACAGGTGGTAATTATTACCTGCTTATTACTCTTATCATAGCTGTTAAACACTTAATGGGCCGCCATTGAGGCTGCTAGGGGAAGGATCATCCCCCCTCCCCCAGACTCTCAAGGGTTCCTTGAGACTTCTAACATCTAGTTAAGAGGGCTTGTCCCAGCTCACTCCCCTTTGACTTCTCTTAGCCCTCGGGATGTAGCCCACTCCTCCCTTTGATCTCTGACTGACCTTTCTCCCTCAAGACTCAGAGCCTTTTGATTGAACTTCTAACTCATCCCTGCCTCAGGGCCTTTGCAAGTGCTGTGCCTTCACCCAGTGCAAATGAGTCCTGTGTCCCTCCTTGTCCTCAGAAAGGCTTGTGACATTATCCCTTTCTCCTTTCAAATCCTCAAGAATCAGTAATTAAGGGGTCCACCCATGAGACCCCGGAGGACAGGGACTTCATTTGCCTTGGACCTGTGGGTGCCTGGCACATGGGTACTCAGTAAACATAAGTAGAGCTGGAACACTGCTTTGCTGGGTTGGTCACTGTGGGCGGTCTCTGGCCTCAGTTTGTCTGATTGGCCTGTGGGTGTAAGCAACCCCTCCTTTGTCTCCCATGTCCATGCTGTCCCACCCCTATCCCTGCTCTGGAGCAAGATCTGGCAGGGGAGAGGCTGGCATCATTGGCAAGGAGGCCTGGGATGCTTCTGTCTAGGGCTGGGGGTGTGGGTTTGTTTTGTCCCAGGACAGGTAGAGGCCTCATTTGTGAGTCTGTATATATACCTGGTAAAGTGAAGTAGAGGGTTACCAGAAAGGAGAAGATGGCTTGGAAAGGATCAAGGAGATGGATTGACACGGTGGCTGCATCGATGGGCTGAACCGTGGCAACAATTGTGAGAATGGCGCAGGACCAGGCAGTGTTTCGTTCTGTTGTACACAGGGTTGCTATGAGTTGGAACCTACTTGACAGCACCTGATGACAAACAGGTACAACTCTGTGTGCCTTTGGTGTCCATGTGTGGTGTGTTGATGGGTCGATGGATGTGTCCATGTGAAAGATACCTGTATGTGTGTGTTCATGTGTCGGGGGGGTGGTCTGTCTGTGTCATGTGACCCGTGAGGTCTGCATGCCATGTGGGTCCCTATGAGCACCCATGTGAGAGATTTCTGTGGGTTTTATGCTGTGTGCAGCTATGTGTGTCTGTATGCAGGAGTATATATGTGTGTCTTGTCTGTGTCTGTGGGTCTCTGTGCTCTCTAGACTTTTCTTCCTGGAGCTGAGTCCCAGCCTGGGCAAAAGGACCCCAGAAGGAGGAGGTCTAACCCCCCACCCCACAGCCAGCCCTACTTTGGACCCTCTTTAGACCTTAGTTTATGGCACTAAGGAGCTCTGGTGGTATAGTGCCTTAGGCATTTGACTGTTAAACAAATTGGCAGTTCAAATCCACCAGCCACTCGGTGGAAGGAAGACTGGGCAATCTACTTCCGTAAAGATTTACCACCTTGGAAACCCAAAGGGGGTCACTATGAGTCGGAATCTACTCAATGAGAGTAAGTTTGGTTTTTTTGTTTTACCCAGTATGCTATGGACTGGATTGGAGGCAACACAGTGTGCTTCTCCTTGAGGCAGAGATGGGAGGGTGAGTGGGCAGCCAGGCCAAAGCCAAATCCTCAGAGGCCCTGCCCTGCCTTTTGGCCTAGGCCTTGGCAGATCCGGGCAGGCCTGAGCTGAATGGTGGATAGGTTGGCAGGGCAGTGGAAACAGAGGCACTTGGGGCCAAGGTGGATGCTGAGGCCACATAGTCCTTAGGCCCACCACCTTCAATTCTCTGCTACTCCCTGGCTTTGTGACTTGAGCCTGTCACTTCACCTCTGTAGTCCTCCTTTTCCTTCTGAAAGTGGAGTACTATGACTATTGCTGATAATTGTTTGGGGGATTTGGAGAAATTATAAAGGCTTAATAAACGTTTTCTATTAGTTTTACTTTATTGTTATTCAACCAAATTTAACTGCAGTTCTTTGATCTGGAGTTTCCTCCACCTGGATTGCCCTTCCTTCACCTTCTAGAAAAATATTCATCCCTTAAAACCCACCTCCAGTGCCCCTTCTTCCCAGAAGCCTTCCCTAACCACATCCCTCAGTGCTCCCCTAGATTCCCTCCATATCTGCCCTGTCTCTCCCTGTTTGTGTTTGGCTCTGTTTTCCCCAGATTGGGGATCCTCGGAGCTGGACAGGGAGGACCTATTCTGGCCACACAATATGGGGACCTGCCCTTGGCAGCCTCTGAGGCCCTTTGTGCACTTCACTTGTTTCTCCGCCCTTCTCAAAGTAGAAAAATTCTTCCTCCCAGCCAGGGAGCCCTCCTGCTACCTAGCCTGCCCCTTCTTTGGCCCAGCCCTAACCCCAAGAAGCTGGGAGCAGCAGTGTCCACTTCTGTCCCCCCAGAGCGGAGCTCTTCAGGTTTGGGCTGAGGCCTCCTAGAGTGTCGGGTGGTGGGGTGGGGGTAGGGGCTGGGGAGAGCCCCAAATCCTGTGCAGTGAACTCTGGGTAACCCTAGTTCATTCACTCACCATACTTTGAGCCCCCACTGTTGAGTGGAGAGCTGGGACATGTGGACACTCCCACCCTCAGGGCCCAGTCTGAGGGGGGCATGAGACAAGCCTGGCTTTGAGGGGAATAAATGGTGCCTCCCTTCCCCAATGGAGGGAAGGGGGAGATTTTTTAGTCAGTAATCAGGGAGGCCACCACTTGTCTGTCAATTTCTTGTAATGTGATGCTTTGTGTGTGGCTCTAATGCTGGAAGCTGTTGTTAGGTGCTGTTGAATTGATTTCAGCTCACAGCTACCCCATATGACAACAGAACTGCCTCCACAGGATTTTCTAAGCTGTAATCTTTACTGGAGCAAATTGCCAAGTCTCTCTCCCATGGAGCTGCTGGGTGGGTTTGAACCGCCAACGTTTCAGTTAGCAGCAAAGCACTTAACCATTGTACCACAAGGGGTCCTTTGCTAGCAGGTTGTTGTTGTTGTTGTTAAGTGCCGTCGAGTCATTTTGGACTCAAAGCGACCCCATGCACAGCAGAACTAACACTGCCCGATCCCGCGCCAGCCCCACAATCCCTGCTATACTTGAGCCCATCATCGCAGCCACCATGTCAATCCATCTCGTTGAAGGACTCCCCCTCCTTCGTCGACCCTCCACCCTACCAAGCATGACATCCTTCTCCAGGGAATGGTCCCTTCTGACAACATGACCAAAATAGGTGAGACCAAGTCTGGCCATTCTTGCTTCCAGGGAGCATTCTGGCTGCACTTCCTCCAGGACAGATCTGTTCTTTTAGCAGTCCACGGTACTTTCAGCATTTTCCACCAGCACCACAACTCAAAAGCATCAACTCTTCTTCGGTCTTCCTTTTTCATTGTCCAGCTCGCACATGCATACCAGGCGATTGGAAATATCATGGCTTGTGTCAGGTGCGCCTTAGTCCTCAAGGAGATATCCTTGCTCCTCAGCACTTGAAACAGTTCCTTCGCAGTTGACTTCCCCAATGCTACACGTCGTCTAATGTCCTGACTGCTGCTTCCGTTGGCATCGATTGTAGAACCAAGCAACGTGAATTCCAGCCTTTCAAGTTTATCCAAGTACTGGAACATTACCCCATATCCCACAGCGGTGTTCCCCCCCTCCCCCGAGGGTGTGACACCTGCTGTGAGAGGAGGTGTCACTTAGGACAGACCAGATAGTAACCCTGTTCCCGTCCCTACCCCTCTACCTCCACCCCCGCCCCTCAGCAGCGATAGAAGCCTGTTGGCTCTGCCCTCTCCCTGCCCCCAGGTCGAGGCGATTACTTTCTTGTTTTCAAGCAACCTCGCAACTCGGTTTAGTTTTGGGTCTTGATTTGAAGACCCAGAAACGTAAAATCGACTTGATAAAACGGAAAGCCCCAAAGAGAAAAGGGGTAAGAAAA